TGTGTTGTGTGGTAATAAGCATTGTGTATAAGTTTCATAACATTTGGTTGAGACAAACTAAAGTGAGAGAATGGAAATGAAAAATTCAGCAATTTTTCCATTTGTAAAGGGGCATAACTCTTGAACGGTAAAAGTGACGCTACCAAAATTCAATCTTGATCTGTGTTTTGTGGTAATAAGCATTGTCTATAAGTTTCATAACATTTGGTTGAGGCAAACTAAAGTGAGAGAACAGAAACAAATATTTCAGGAATTTTTCCATTTTAAAAGGGGCATAACTCTAGAACGGTTAAAGTGACGCCACCAAAATTCAAACTTGATCTGTGTTGTGTGGTAATAAGCATTGTGTGTTTCATAACATTTGCTTGAGACAAACTAAAGTGAGAGAATGGAAATGAAAAATTCAGCATTTTTTTCATTTGTAAAGGGGCATAACTCTTGAACGGTAAAAGTGACGCTACAAAAATTCAATCTTGATCTGTGTTTTGTGGTAATAAGCATTGTCTTTAAGTTTCATAACATTTGGTTGAGGCAAACTAAAGTGAGAGAACAGAAACAAATATTTCAGGAATTTTTCCATTTGTAAAGGGGCATAACTCTAGAACGGTTAAAGTGACGCCACCAAAATTCAAACTTGATATATGTTTTGTAGATATGTCCTATTTTCGGTGCAAAATATAGTTAGCATGCAATTTGTGTCCGGGGATACATGGACACGTATGTATGGCTTTGTGTCCGGGGATACATGGACACGTATGTATGGCTTCACCAAAAAGAGTACAAATATAAACAGCGTTATATCTATATATAAACAAGCAATAATAGTGGATACAGTTACCCAGTGCTATTTCTTATATAAAACTTAGGATTCAGGCGGACACAGCTGGACACAACGTTATTTCTATATAAAATATATATAAACTAGTGACTACAGACGGACACAAGTGGACACAACATAATATCTATACAAAACTTATAGAATCTGCTGGCTTCAGGCGGACACAGCTGGACACAGTGCTATTTCTATATAAAACTTAAAGATATAGGGGGAGATAGGCGGACACAAGTGGACACAACGTAATATCTATATAAAACTTATAGAATCTGCTGGCTACAGGCGGACACAGCTGGACACAGTGCAATTCCTATATAAAAATTATAAAAAATGGGGATACAGGCGGACACAAGTAGACACAACGTAATTTTTATATAAAACTTATAGAATCTGCTGGCTACAGGCGGACACAGCTGGACACAGTTATATTTCTATATAAAACTTTATGAAATAGGGGGATACAGGCGGACACAAGTGGACACAACGAAATTTCTATATAAAACATAGAATGTGATGGCTACAGGCGGACACAGCTGTACAAAGTGATATTTCTATATAAAAATTACAGAAACAGGGGCCTACAGGCGGACACAAATGGACACAACGTAATTTCTATATAAAACTTAAAGATATAGGGGGAGATAGGCGGACACAAGTGGACACAACGTAATATCTATATAAAACATAGAATGTGCTGGCTACAGGCGGACACAGCTGGACACAGTGCAATTCCTTTATAAAAATTATAAAAATTGGGGATACAGGCGGACACAAGTGGACACAACGTAATTTCTATATAAAACTTATATAATCTGGTGGCTACAGGCTAACACAGCTGGACACAGTGCTATTCCTTTATAAAAATTATAAAAACTGGGGATACAGGCGGACACAAGTGGACACAACGTAATTTCTATATAAAACATAGAATGTGCTGGCTACAGGCTGACACAGCTGGACACAGTGCTATTTCTATATAAAAATTACAGAAACAGGGAGCTACAGGCGGACACAAGTAGACACAACGTAATTTCTATATAAAACTTATAGAATCTGCTGGCTACAGGTGGACACAGGTGGACACAGCTGGACACAGTGCTACTTCTATATAAAAATTACAGATACAGGGGGCTACAGGCGGACACAAGTGGACACAACGTAATTTCTATATAAAACTTATAGAATTTGCTGGCTACAAGCGGACACAGTGCTATTTCTATATAAAACTTTAGGAAACAGGGGGATACAGACGGACACAAGTGGACACAACGTAATTTCTATATAAAACTATGGAATCTGCGGGCTACAGGCGGACACAGCTGGACACAGTGCAATTTCCTATTTAAAACTTTAAGATACAGGAGAATACAGGCGGACACAAGTGGACACAACGTAATATCTATATAAAACTTATAGAATCTGCTAGCTACAGGCGGACACAGCTGAACACAGTGCAATTCCTTTATAAAAATTATAAAAAATGGGGATACAGGCGGACACAAGTGGACACAACGTAATTTTTATATAAAACTTATAGAATCTGCTGGCTACAGGCGGACACAGCTGGACACAGTGCTATTCCTTTATAAAAATTATAAAAACTGGGGATACAGGCGGACACAAGTGGACACAACGTAATTTCTATATAAAACTTATAGAATCTGCTGGCTACAGGCGGACGCAGCTTGACATAGTGCTATTCCTTAATAAAAATTACAGAAACAGGGGCCTACAGGCGGACACAAATGGACACAACGTAATTTCTATATAAAACTTAAAGATATAGGGGGAGATAGGCGGACACAAGTGGACACAACGTAATATCTATATAAAACATAGAATGTGCTGGCTACAGGCGGACACAGCTGGACACAGTGCTATTCCTTTATAAAAATTATAAAAACTGGGGATACAGGCGGACACAAGTGGACACAACGTAATTTCTATATAAAACATAGAATGTGCTGGCTACAGGCGAACACAGCTGGACACAGTGATATTTCTATATAAAAATTACAGAAACAGGGGCCTACAGGCGGACACAAGTGGACACAACGTAGTTTCTATATAAAACTTATAGCATCTGCTGGCTACAGGCGGACACAGCTGGACACATTGCTATTTCTATATAAAACTTTATGAAATAGGGGATACAGGCGGACACAAGTGGACACAACGTTATTTCTGTATAAACGTATAGAATCTGCCGGCTACAGTCGGACACAGCTGGACACAGTGCTATTTCTATATAAAAATTACAGAAACAGGGGGCTACAGGAAGACACAAGTGGACACAACGTAATTTCCATATGAAACTTATAGAATCTGCTGGCTACAGGCGGACACAGCTGGACACAGTGCTATTTCTATATAAAACTTTAGGAAACAGGGGGCTACAGACGGACACAAGTGGACACAACGTAATTTCTATATAAAACTATAGAATCTGCTGGCTTCAGGCGGACACAGCTCGACACAGTGCTATTTCCTATTCAAAACTTTAAGATATAGGGGGATACAGGCGGACACGAGTAGACACAATGTAATTTCTATAGAAAACGTATAGAATCTGCTTGCTACAGGCGGACACAGCTGGACACAGTGCTATTTCTATATAAAACTTTAAGAAACAGGAGGCAACAGACGGACACAAGTGAACACAACGTAATTTCTATATAAAACTTATATAATATGCTGGCTACAGGCGGACACAGCTGGACACAGTGCAATTCCTTTATAAAAATTATAAAAACTGGGGAAACAGGCGGACACAAGTTGACCCATAACGTAATTTCTATACAAAACTTATAGAATCTTGTGTCAACAGGCGGACACAGCTGGACACAGTGCTATTCCTTTATAAAAATTATAAAAACTGGGGATACAGGCGGACACAAGTGGACACAACGTAATTTCTATATAAAACATAGAATGTGCTGGCTACAGGCGGACACAGCTGGACACAGTGATATTTCTATATAAAAATTACAGACACAGGGGCCTACAGGCGGACACAAGTGGACACAACGTAATATCTATATAAAACTTATAGAATCTGCTGGCTACAGGCAGACACAGCAGGACACAGTGCTATTTCTATATAAAACATATAAAAACTAGTGACTACAGGCGGACACAAGTGGACACAATGTAATATCTATATAAAACTTATTTAATCTGCTGGCTACAGGCAGACACAGCTGGACACATCATCTTTATCTTTTTATGTAAATTAAGCACCTCACATTTGAATAACTTTAAACACACCAGAACCAGGACCATGAATACATTTTTCTCAATGTTAATCTACTTTTTTCTGGATTTCACAAATGATCAATAAAACTTGACACCAGCCTAGACACATAAATATGATATCAGAACATTAAAACATTTCAGATAGAAAGTCAGCATTGTAGATTTGGATGAAAACTTGAAATTGAAAATTTTCGAGGCTGTATTTTGGGCATATAATTCTAAATTTATATACATTTCTACAATTTTCTATAGTGGAAATCCATTACATATTATTAAAAAATTGATACCAGTAGTTGGCAAAACCAGTTTCATGTTTAATTAACGCAATTCTTAAGCCTAAGAACCCAATAGATTAAGCACAAAATGCAGTGATTTTCTCAGTTATATTAATGCAAATCAATTTAGAATAAAAACTATTTTCTTCAATATCAAATATTGACAGGAACACGATTTATTTTAAAACTAAATGTTTTATTCATTTTATCATAATTTTCAAGGGAAACAAACTATTTTTTTTCACTTCCCTGTATAAATTAAGTTATTTTTTCCAGAAATTAAGGATCAAACAATTTCCCCCCCCCCCAACCCCCTCCCCTCTTTCAGACCCCTTTTGTGTTTTCAATAATCTATAGACTAATAAAACCTAAACAGTGCGTGTGGTGAATCCTTTTAGGATATAAACTCAAAGAAACATCTACCTGCTCAAACTCAAGTCATGGATAATTGTATGTCATAACTGACTAGACAATTTAATTCAGTTTGACGTACAGCTCCGTAAACTTATACCCTGGGAACAGTATATCAATATATATGTTCCTGTTATACTGAACCATATCCAAATGAATATGATTTCCTCTTTAAGGCGCAACACATATAAATATTGGGAATGCGTAAGAAAAATAGGAAGACATCAGTGGAAGAAATACATTGTTCACACTGTATGAAAATCAAAGGCTATATACACGCAAAGCTCCCGCTGCGAATCAGGAAGATCGGGGAAGAAAAGTCTGATAAGCCTACATCTGATAATTATCAAGGAATATATATCTTCTTACTTTGATATAGTTGTATTGCCATTCGTTTTTATTATTTATAGTAGTTTATAAGTTAAAATCACCTCTACACGTTTGGATGTACGCTGGATTACTATATATAACAATCGATTTTGCATGCGAGTGCGCAATGCGAATATTGAAAGTACAATACAATAAAAGTTGCAGGAGTTTTGTCACAGCAAGTGTCCTTTAAGGGTATAAAATTGCATAGACAATTAATTAACTCTATTTCTTGAATAACACACAGCATTACACTGGAACTATTTGAATATTAAATATTGGTATTGGTGTTCTAGATGGATGTGTCCGGTGCCTACGCATGCCAATACGAATTTACAGAATAATCCTTGAGTCAACTTTTCTCAAATGTGTGCAGTTTTTATATAAATTTCTACTTTGATATACTGCCATCCTGACTTGTCGATAGTATTTTACATGTTCCAAAAGGTGGCAATAAATTAAGTATCACTGTAGTAGATAATTTTCAGGCAGTAACAAATCAACAAATATCCAAGTCCAACCAGATCTGGTGATAAAATTCCAGGTTTTATTCCCATACTAGCTGTACTTATAATCTTATTTTCCTGATTTTCCTGACATCCATTCTTTTGTTCCAGTCAAAATCATTACAAGGTTAACCACCAAAAATATCCTGTCATGTTTCAATCTGCATACATTTTTTGAATTAAGATTGAAAATGAACAAACAATAAATACCTGAGAAGTCTACAGCACAGACCCCTCTTTGATGTTGACCTTTCAGTACTGACGATGTTTCATTGATTCTGTATCCCAGATATGTATAGTTCATCAGTCTCTTCCAACCTGTATGTACATAAATTAGATTGAAATATATTTAAAAAAAGATTCTACTACTACCATAAAGGTACTTTTGAACAATGATTCCATAATTTCTGGCTTTGTACTTGTTTTGGCTTTCAAACTTTTTTCATCTGAGCGTCACTGGTTGGTCTTGTGTGGACGAGACGCACGTCTGACGTATTGAATTTTAAGCCTAGTACCTTTTGTTAGCTATTATTCGTGTGTTTCTTTGTCCTATATGTTCTCCCATTTATTTGTTTTGTGGTCCTGTCATGTGATGTTGTCGTTTTGGTGTTGTGTTTGACGTTGCCATAAAAGCGGGAGGTTTGGCATGCCAAAAAACCAGGTTCAACCCACCATTTTTTTCTTAAAATGTCCTGTACCAAGTCAGGAAAATGGCCATTGATATATTATAGTTCGTTTCTGTGTGTGTTACATTTTAATGTTGTGTTTTTGTTGTGTCATTGTTCTCCTCTTATATTTGATGCGTTTCCCTCAGTTTTAGTTTGTAACCCGGATTTGTTTTTATCTCTATCGATTTATGAGTTTCGAACAGCGGTATACTACTGTTGCCTTTATTTAGATATATTTTATAATATTTAGATATTTAAGGTTTGCCATAAATCAATGGATAATGTTTGATGTCACATGATATTTTTCTCTCTAAGGGATATAAGCCAATAACAATCCATTCTGTAAAATATTTTACAGAATGGACTGTTAGAGGCTTATATCTTAAATTGTTTTACACGTTGAAACCTGAAAATTATAAAAACTTTCATAGTCCCCTGGTTCATGAAGGAAGTTCTAATTCGCACTTTGTACACAGGATAAGGTTTCGGTTGTTCATGACCCTTGTATTGTGGCATGATCTATCAAATTTTAGAAGCATTACTTTATTGCTTTTTTCATTTTAGTTGCAGTTGAAAATGATGTTAGGAAGGGCATCACCAGAGGTCAATTTTGATAACCTAAAGACAGACGAGGATAAATCTTTTGGAAAAATAAATTCATAAAAGCAATAAAAACAAGACTTACAACGAGCATAATCAACTTATTGAATTAGTGCTAAAAGAGACAATCCAAAAACATGAGAAAAATGGCTGTGATATAAGTATTGGTAGTGTTAATAAACTAGCTGTTATCACAGAGATATGTCTCGCTTTTTTGTAATTTCGATAATGCAAATGTTGAAATTAAAATAGAAACACTTTATTTAACATGTACGTTTTGCAAATACTCAAAGTCAATGAACCATGACTGAAGGTACATGGCTAAACAATCTCCATGGAAATGAGATGTACCAATGCTAATACAACTGCATACTAAATACCATTGACTTATCATAAGTAGTTCCCTTTAAACATACCTAAACACAAGCTCATACATTTAAATATAGCAAAATTTCAAACACAAGTTAATACATTTAAATAAAGCAAAATTTCAAAGTCAATAAACCATAACTGAGGGGGCGGGAGTCAAATAATTTTCCTGGTAATGAGATGTGCCAATGCTAATACAACTGCATACTAATTATCATTGACCTATCGCTAGTGGTTCTCCATAAACCGACCTAATCACAAACTAATACATGAAAACTAAGCAAAAGTTTCAAAGTCAATAGACCATGACTGAGGGGGCGGGGCCAAATAATTTCCATGGAAATGAGATATGCCAATGCTTATACAACTGCATACCAATTATCATTTACTTATCACTAGTGGTTCCCCATAAACTGACCTAATCACAAACTAATACATGAAAACTAAGCAAAAATTTCAAAGTTATTAGACCATGACTGAGGGGGCGGGGCCAAATAATCTCTATGGAAATGAGATATGCCAATGCTTATACAACTGCATACCAATAATCATTAACTTACCACTAGTGGTTCCCCATAAAATGACCTAATCACAAACTAATACATGAAAACTAAGCAAAGTTTCAAAGTCAATAGACCATGACTGAGGGGGTGAGGCCAAATAATCTCCATGGTAATGAGATGTGCCAATACCAATACAACTGCATACCAAATATCTTTGACTTACCACTAACTAGACTATAAACTAGACATAATCACAAACTAATACATTGTTGATGCCACCGTCGCCGCCGACGCCGGAAACAGCATACCTATGTCTCGCTTTTTGACTCCGTCAAGCGAGACAAAAATCAATTTGAAAGTGATTTTTTTCTCAAGAAACCATTTGATGAGTGACAAAATTATTGTATTGGAAGGTGACTTTAATAAAATGTTATTTTAATTGTCATTTGATCTTTGGTTTTATTTTTGTTTACATGATGAAAACAATTGGGGTAATTAATAGTTTTTTTTTATTTCAGTGATTGAACTATCATTTATCTGTAAGAATCAGTAATGCTACCCTTTAGCTGTCCAATATTTTTAAGAAAGAGGAGGTCTATTCTTAAAAATATTGGACAGCTAAAGGTAACATAATGGTTTCTTACAGGTTAATGATAGTCCAATCACTGAAATAAAGAACGGGTAAAACAATAGAATGACATCACAACAATGTTTTAATTATCCATAACATTTTAGAATATGAGACAGGAGAATGAAATGCCAGACATGTGACCTCTAGTCTGAATTTCTGACTGGCTTAAGTCATCTCTATAAAAAAACATCCTTTTCAAACGATAATTTCAAGATAACAGATAAACAATGTTTCAATAGTAATTTCCTAAGATAAAAAAAATATAGAAAAATGCACCTAGCTTATTAAAGAGGCATTTATTAGCAGCATGTTTATGATAAAATCGCCAATAGATTGCATCCTTTTTTGTTGATAGTTTACTATAAAGTAACAATCGGTAAACTTCGGCTTCAAAACACGGCAATTAATGAGCTACCATATTTGTTAGATCATAACAGACAGAGAGAAAAAAAATTGACAATTTAAAAACGATATCTTTGCGTAAAAAATGATAAAATTGTGCACAGAAGACTAAGTTTATGATATAAACATGCATTGCGCCTGTCCCAAGTCAGGAGCCATTGGCCTTTGTTAGTCTTGTATCATTTTTAATTTTAGTTTCTTGTGTATAATTTGGAGTTTAGTATGACGTCCATTATCACTGAACTAGTATACATATTTGTTTAGGGGCCAGCTGAAGGACGCCTCCGGGTGCGGGAGTTTCTTGCTGCATTGAAGACCCATTGGTGGCCTTCGGCTGTTGTCTGCTCTATGGTCGGGTTGTTGTCTCTTTGACACATTCCCCATTTCCATTAATTCTCAATTTTATTGGTTCAAGAATTGGATAAACATTATTTTTTTCAATTTATTGTTGGCTTTGCTTGTGAAAAGTTAAAAAACTTAATTTTGGTATACATTCTTAGTAGACAATGTGTTCAAAGGGAAATAACTCACCATAACCATAAAACATCTATTTTCTATACATGTCCCAGTACAACTAATGATTCCTGACAAGATAATAAAGGCTCCTGTTCCTAGTAGCAAGTATGTTGCCAAAGGGAAAGTACTGTTCCCTGGCAGATTGATATAGGTATGCTTCTGGAACTTGATATATAACCCTAATGCTAGGAAAGCTAACCGGGCTGTCAGCTGGAAAAGAAATATAGAATTTATCATGCATAAAAATACTATTGAATTTTAAAGAACATTTAATTAATTGACAGAACATGATAAAGAAAAGTTAGGAAACGGAATATTTTTGTAATTTGAAGTTAGCAATGTTAGCTGAAAAATTAGAAATAATTTTATATTAGGATCTTTTATCCTGTAAGCATGGTTATAAAATCTTACTAGCAACAGAATACAGTAAACAATGAATGAAGAATTTCATCTAATTTGAACAAAGAACAAAGGGAGATTATTCAATTAACATGTATCTATATCTTCTCTTATGTCTTATATTATACATTTACAAATTCTATACTTTATATAGTTAGTTCTGAACATGCATATATAATATTTGCCAATGGATGATTCTAAGCAACCAATAATCAATAAATCATTTAAATTGTAACATCTTTTTAAGTTGCCTTTTCTATAACTATAAACATATATATAATACACTTACCCAAAAGAAAAAGTTGAACACATAAAGGACGACTTTTAGGAAGTTTTTACCACACAGGTCCCTTTTTCTCCTATTATTTCCTCTAGCTGATTGTAAAATCCCAAAACTGATAGAATGTTAACTTCTGTTTAACCACTGTCTGCACACTGCACACTAACAATCTTTTGTTACTGATATCATTTGCAGCTTTTTCAAATTCAATGAGGCTATTTGTATTGATTCAGTTACCATCCATCTATTGTGAAAGAGAAAGAAAATATTACTATCAGAACAAAAAATGTCCACAGATATACTGCACTTAAAGTTAACTTTAGTTACTTTCCTGAAAAAACCAATTTGATAATTTCACATAATCTTTACTTTATGACTTTATAAAGTTTTTCTATCACATGAAAAAGTAATTATAATTTAATGCATATAATAAACGTTATTAACTGCAGTCAGGGGCGTAGCTGCCGTTAGGCACTTTAGGCACGTGCCTACACATTATTTTTTCACAAATAATTTTTTTATTAAAAAAAGTAATAAACAATGTTATCTGTAGATGCATGTGAATTCGTCAAAACTCTTTAATTATCGAATGTCATGCGTACACTAGTCTATCATCCTTATTGAATCAGTGGCGTATTTGAACTGTATGTCATTATATTCCACCTAATATAGAAACTATAAACTAGAACTTTGGTTCAGATAATTCACTTCAATCAACAAATACTTGAATGAACCTCAACTTAAATAAATGATTTCTTTTAATTAGTTGTTGCTGGCCCAAGTTCAATCTGATGCCTAGTGAAGAGAGAAAGAATGTCACGCTCTCTGCACACTTGAAACAACTCTTTGAGGGGTTAGTAGGTTGTCTACTGAAAGGCAAATTTCTGTTCCTATTTAATAAACCCTCATTTTCCAATGCATGGCATTTCCAAATTTCCAGACCTTCATCCTGGACAACCTCTATCTGTTTTAGTCCTGAACATGCATGAATTATTTGCCACTGGACGTCTGTCTATCAATCAATCAATCAATCAATCAATCAACTAGCTTTCAGTAACTTCGAGTACTCTCAGATCTACATGTAATGACGATAATGATTCAAATTCCTAAGCAGGTAGGGATTTTACAGTACAGGATATAAGAAAATATGAATTTCTTGAATTTTGTTAGACACCGGTAGTATGAACAGAACAGAACTTCTGCGTGACGTATTGACTGTGTGTGTGTATGTGTTTGTGTGGCCGGGGGAGGGTGAAGGTTTAAGAATCAAAATATGAATGGTCGATGCGCCGTATTCCAAAAGTTAGTATTATTATGTAGTAGTCTCAGTGTTTACGTGCCTATTTTTTTTTTTTAATGAAGGATCGTCAATATGTACGTATGTATCAATTATACTCAATCAGAAACAGGTTGTGCTGCTTAATAAAGGGCTACGCTGATCCACGCTGGGCAATGCATATTGGAAATATTGTTTTTTTTTATATTTCCAATTGTACTGCCGGTTAATTCATCAGTCAGATGTAATTGTAGAATTATGTTTATTTTTTCGACATTGTTTTCATGTATATTATCATGATAAAATGACGTTTTTTTATGTTTTTTTGTACACAAAATTTTGCAACTTAAATGCTGAAAACCGTTTTCCGTCGGAGGGCTACGCCCCCAGAACCCCTTACCAGGGGCCTTATGGGGCCCCAGACCCCCTGCCGCAATTTGTGCCTACAGTTTATTGGATACCTAGCTACGCCCCTGGCAGTTGTCTGGCTATGCTTCATCTCACAATATATTGTGTATACATATACACCTGGTGATACCCACCCAGATACATTATTCTCATATACGACCATGCAAGACCCTCATGGATAACCAGGGTCAGTAAAAAAAACCATGTCATTCACAATATAAAAACCATACAATAATTTCTGTATTAACAGTATTTGAAATGTTATACAACAGTTTAACCAGGTATTTAAAATCTTAACCCTGTGGTTTTTAGATACAATCCAAATGGACTTTGATGCTTTGGTGTTGATATTTAAATGTCTTCTTACTTTTTGTGTCATTAAGTTGCTGTCTCATTGATATATTATACCCTTTATCTCCATTATTCAACTTTTTATCATGGTAAGCAAAGGTATTTAGGCCATGTTAAATTACTGAAAGAACTTATATGTATGGGCTTTGCTCATTGTTAAAGGTCATAAGGTGACCCGTAGCTGTTAATTTCTGTGTCATTTGGTCTCTTGTGCCTCGTTTCTCATTGGTAATCGTACCACATCTTCTTTTTCATATTATGCAAGATAATGCCTGGTTTCCCCTTTGATTTGTTCAAATCTTCAAATATTAATGTAAACATAAAGTAACCAGATGTTCCGCAGGGTGCAGCTTTATACGACTGCAGAGGTCGAACCCTGAACAGTTGGGACAAGTATGGACACAACATTCAAGCTTGATACAGCTCTGAATTTGGATTGTGATTAAATAGTTGACACAGCATAGGTTTCTGGTAGTCTAATGAACTTAAAAAATTTATTTGCTTTTGAGTAATACACTATGCTGTTGAATATTAATCCCCTAAAAAAAAATATTTAAAGAATTCTGAAATGAGAAAAATTGTACCCCCCCCCCCCCCCCCTTTTTTTCATCTTCTCTTTTCCCGTATTCCAATAATAATCTCAATTCAAATTTCTTATGGAGTTTTTAACAATAACTACTCATTTAATAAATACATCATTAAATATAAAAATATAAAATGATATAGTCATGGTTAAAATTAATATAAATGAATAGTATTACTTCTAAAAAAAAAATTACAGCTTATCATCTCAAGACAATCATCATTTCTTAATATATAATTTTCAAACAGTGTAAGGGAGGTAATCAAACATATATATAACAGTATTCTTTAAATTTGAATTGGATTACCTCCCTAACACAGCTTTTAAATTGTCTAAATTGTCCTTTAACCAGAAAAACACGTGTTTTTCCCCCTTTTTTTTTGGCCCCTAATTGCTAAATGATTTAAGCCATAACCCCCAATAACTATCCCTTTGTAGTATGGAAACTTGTGGTATAATTTCAGAGAGATTTATACACTTAAACACAAGTTATTGACTGTAAACTACAACAAGTTATTGTCTGGAAACTAGAAAAATGCTTGTTTTTGGCCCTTTTATGGCCCCTAATTCTTGCATGAATGGGACAATAATGCCCAAACTCAATCTAAGTCTTCCTTTTGTGATATGGAACTTTGTGGTACAATATAAGAGAGATCTATACACTTACACACAAGTTATTGTCCAGAAACTACAAAAATGCTTGTTTTTGGCCCCTTTTGGGCCCTTAATTCTTAACTGTTGACACCATAGACCGCAAAATGAATCCAAACCTTTTACTTGTGGTATTAAACATAATGGTACAATTTCAGAGCAATTGAAATACTTATACACAAGTTATTATCCTGAAAGTAGAAAAATGCTTGTTTTGGGGCCTTTTTGGGCCTATTTTTACTTAACCGGTGGGACCATCAACCCCAAAATCAATCCCAACCTTTCTTTTGTGGTATTGAACCTTTTTATTAAATTTCAAAGAGATCCATTCATGTAAACTAAAGTTATTGTCCGGAAAACAAATGTGTCATCGGACAACGCAGACGACGACAAAATTTTTGCGGGTTAAATATATTTATCATGTATGCCTAAAGACTACATCAGGTGCCATTTAACTAGGTGCCAATTTGACTAGGTGCTGATTTGACTATACCGGGTGCCGATTTGACCGGATACTGATTTGACTAGAACTCTGACCAATGAGCTGTTGAATACCATAAATGGGCTGTCGACATTTGATCAAGCTTCCGTCGTAAATATTGGTCATAGTGAAATTAACCAGATTGTTTTGGGGCCAGATTGATTTTGGGCCAGAACAACCTGATACCCAAGTACTTTACCAGTATATAATAGAACATTAGTAAGTTAATCTGTTTATATCTACTTTTAACCATTTACCCCCCAGAAGATATATCCTGTCATTCCTGTTGTCTAGTGTTTATTGTACTTCTTCTTCTATATTTTGTGGTTAATCTGCAGTTGAAATTTCCATAACACAGATATACTGTGCGGGTGTGTCAACCAGTACACGCCAAGTTAAAAATAAACAAAAACTTGTGTATTTACAGGAACAAAATCAAATAAAATTATGTGAGTTTGCAACAACTGTACAGGGTTAAAATCAGGTTTCAATAGTTACGCCAGGAACTGCCACACACAGACCCGGAAGGCGTCTGTTGTGGGGGCTTGGATGGCACTTTCAGGTAATTGGTTTACAGTCAAAAATTTGTTCTGGGGATGAAACTGTATTTATAGGCATCCGTTGAAGTGCTGACTCTGGAAAACCTGTCTCTGTGCCTGTGGTATTGTCTGGTTGTTACAGTTGGTCTCCTGATGTAATCTGGGATAATGACTGATGCTTCTCAATGCAGGATCTTATATAGGAGTATAAGCCTGGCTCCTTGTCTGCGTGTTGCTAGTGTTGGCCAGCCAAGTGTCTGTAGGATGTTGGTTACAGAACCTGGTTCCCGAGAATAGGTTGTTGTAGATCTAGTCGGTTGAATTATGTAATGACAAAGCATACAATATTTGGATACTTAAATTGTAAATAAAATTTAGCTTCTGTTTATCTATCTTGATAGTAATTTGTGTTGTCATCTATCTAAAGCACGTGAATAAAGTAAAATCACACAACAATATTGCACTTTGGATGAGTTTGGTAGAAAAGTCACGACAACAACCTAACTTCCGGTTGGTTTTGTTTTTAAATAAACAGAAGCGGTCTCACTAATTAGCGACAAGAAGCGTCAAGAAGCGACAAGAAGAATAAATTTAGCGACAAGAAGCGACAAGAAGACTATTTAGCGACAAGAAAACTTAATAAAAATATTATTAAAATAAATATATTAAAAAAATATGCATTGACATTTTTATTTTAATATACGGAAAGTAAAGTGATTTTCATTTTTTTTCTAAATATATTGATAGATATTGATAAATATAGAAATTTCCCTGTCATAGAATGATATTAATTTTTACATGTTCTTGTGTTTTAGATCAATAATATATTTATTTTGTAAATTTTTTAACACTCTCTTTGTCTAAAATATAATAAACTGACTGCATGCAAAATGCATATTAGACGTGAATCAGTGTCCAGAAAAGATAATGTTACTAAAACGTGAATATTTTATATGGGTATTGACTTATCAAACGATATGTATGATGTTTATGCATAGTTTAAAGTTGATTTAAGATTAAAGGTAATTAAAGACAATGTTGTGTGTTCAACAGTTGCTCACTATTTACAATTATTGTATCATTCTGGCGCGTGTAGTTGTATAGTCTGACGCGTGTATAAAGTTATAGGTGTTAATTGAATGTTATTGTAGCAATACAATAAGGGACGCACGTCCTTTACTCCAACCATGATTCTAATTTGTTCATCCTTAAGCGTCATTATGCTTCTATGAAAAGAAGTAATTCTTACAAGAAAATAATCAGCTGGTTCGAAAAAAATGCCTGGCCATTCTCTTGAAACCATGAAGAAAGCAATAGCAGAATACATAGGTACCTATCCTATTAAACAAACAAAATATTGCTGATGATATATGCAAGCTGTCATCAATATTAATTCTTTGAAAGAAATTGTTCAGATCACAGGCAAACCTTCAAATGTTATCTTGACTCATTAATTTCTTCATCTATCAATATAATAAAAAAAAATGAAAATCTCTTTATTGCTGTCAATGCATATTTTTTTTAATATATTTATTCTAATAATATTTTTTTTTAAGTTTTCTTGTCGCTAAATAGTCTTCTTGTCGCTTCTTGTCGCTAAATTTATTCTTCTTGTCGCTTCTTGACGCTTCTTGTCGCTTCTTGACGCTTCTTGTCGCTAATTAGTGAGACCCAACAGAAGTACTCTAGTTGCTCCGTTCGATGGCCAATTGTCAGAGATATTTTGAATGAGGAGGGTTTTATTTTGGGAAACTATTATAATAACAGTTTTATTTAACATTCAAATACCAAACCTGTTTTCGTAAATTAGAACATTCTTAAAACTTATATCTGTTATGATTATTTAAAAGAAAAATCTATATGTAATATGAATTGTAACTGAACCTTGTGAAAACAGTTTATTCTAAACTAAAGATAATGTTATTTATAGCGGGGAAATCGTGTCATTCTATAATGGGCATAAAATATGACTTGTACTCAGAGGCGTATTAAGTGGGGGACAGGGGTCCCGGTCCCTTTGTAGGAAAATTCGTTTGACTAAGTTATTTAGGGATCAGTGAAGCATGACTGGAGTGGGACCCCTCTTGGCCACTACCACCCCCTTTATCAAAATTTCTGGATCTTCACTGGTACTGCATACATACTTTTATCATCGGTACTTTATATTTTTCTCCTTTGCTTTGTTTTTACTTTTATATTCCGGCTCTGCGCTCAATTTAACTGTGCTTTTTTCAGTGTTGCTATCATGAGCACTGTGACATCTTGTTTCACTGACTTAATAATGCTTTCATATTGATATGCATTTTATTTTATTTGCATGTCTTAAATTGTTTACATGAATTGTATACGCCTTTTATTTGTTCGTTGGTAAAAAATTGTACAGAGCTTACATTATTATAGGTTTATAATGTACCAAATTTTATTTTTCTCAACCTTGTTATGTTTTATAGTCTCACTTATGGGTACTTATTGGTCATCCCTAATGACCGACTTGTTTTGTATTTCTGTGAAGCAGAATTCCTACAAAACATTTCAAAGATAATAAATTGCTTCGCCGAGCGCAGCTAGATACGACCGCGGAGGTCCTACCATGAACAGTTGGGGCAAAAATGGACACAATATTCGCGCTTGGGTCTGAATATGGATTGTAATTAAATATTTGACACATAATAGGATTCTGACAGAGAATAACTGTAGTCAAGGAACTTAGAATTGGTTATATGTTTCAATTTATATTAATTGTTTTGGCTTATATGCAATACACTATGCTGTTGCGAATTGACCCCCCTACCCAAAAAAATACACCCTTAAGCTTTCTGTTGCGTATTGACCCCTCATTTTTTTTCGCTCTTGTGCAATACGCTATTATGCTGTTGTTTATTGACACCTCCCCTTTTTTTTTTGGCAAAAATCAATTATATTTAAAGAAAATGTCTTTTTAATTTCTATAATTTCTGTAATCTAAAATTTAAAATTTTAAATTCCAAATAGAATTTGCAACCATAATTACCCATTTAAATACATCCTAAAATTCTTTTTTTAAACAGTTAGTTCTCTTTTGATGGCTGTATTTTTGACATTTTCACCTGTTATGTCTGTTTGATTTGTTCACACATCGTTGTCAATATAATGGAATTTGATGTGACTGTCATACAAGTGAGAGGTTTAGCTAGTTATAAAAGCAGGCTCAATCCACCATTTTCTACATAAGAAAGTGCCTATACCAAGTCAGAATATGATAGTTGTTATCCATTCATTTCATGTGTTTGAGCTTTTGATTTTGCCATTTGATTAGGGACTTTCCGTTTTGAATTTTTCTCAGAGTTTAGTATTTTTGTGATTTTACTTTTTTCTAAAAACAAATTGGCAGCAAATCACCTCAAGACAATACATTTCGTTATACATGATTTAAAAGTAGTGTAAGGGATGTAATTCAAACGTAACATTCATGTACTTAAATAAGTAATAGTCCATCAAACAGGAAATCATTGTTTTCCCCCTTTTTTGCCCCTAATTCCTAATTGGTTTAAGCTATAACCCTCAAAAGCCAATCCTAACCATCCTTTTGAGGAATGGAAAATCGTGGTATAATTTCAGAGAGATCCATACAATGTTCCACAAGTTATTGTCTGGAAACTAGAAAAATGTTTTTTTTGGGCCCCTTTTTGCCTCCTTAAATCCCTAAACTGTTAGGACCACAACCCCTTAAATCAACCCCAACCTTTTTTGTGTGGTTATAAACCTTGTGTTCAAATTTCATACATTTCTATTTACTTATACTAAAGTTATTTAATTATTTAATGTAAATTTGAAAATAGTTGATAATCATTATGAATGTCAAAAGTGTATATTTAATTTTGAAGTGTTTTGGTTGTGTTGATAAAAAAAACATGTTGCAAAAAAAGACTAGATGTGTCGAATCGACACGAATGGCCCTGTCTCAAAAAGTTGAAAAATCTGCAATTTCAACAACACATGTGAACACAAACATGATGGTAGTCTCACATATCAAAATTCTGCTCAAAATCTTCAGGCTTTAAAAAACTCCATTTAACTGTGATTTTCGACCATTTATCAAAGTTCAAAGCCTGTAATTTTGGGGAAAATTAGCAAAGCGGAACTAAACATAAACTTGATCTGTAAATCATCATGGTTAACTCACATACCAGAAATCAGCCCAATATCTGAAGGCGTTTAGAAAAAAACCTGTATAACTGTGATTTTCAACAATTTATCGAAGTCCAAAGCCCGTAATTTCGGCAAAAATAGTAGAGCAGGACAAAACTCAAACTTGATCTGTAACTCATTATGGTTAACTCACATAACCAACAATCAGCCCAATATCTGAAGGCCTTTAGAAAAAAAAAAGTCTGTATAACTGTGATTTTCAACAATTTATCGAAGTCCAAAGCCTGTAATTTTGGCAAAAATTAGCGGACCAGAACGAAACTAAAACTTCATCTAAAACTCATCATGGTGAACTCACATACCAAAAATCAGCCTAATATCTGAAGGCATTTAGAAAAAAAGCCCGTATAATGGTTTGTTGCGGAATGACAGAATGATGGAAAGATGGATTGACGGAATGATGGAATGACAGACAAGGCTAAAACTATATGGCCCCGACAGCTTTGTTGCGAGGCCATATTTGTTGCGGGGCCATAAAAAGCTTCATCATGTGTAATTACTAGTTCATGAAGATCAAAAATGTTCTCAACTTGGAAGAAAAACACAGCACTTGGTATCATTCCAACATGAACTGTACAGAAGCTGCTGCTTAATTTGATGAAAAGCCACAACTCTATCTAGCTACTGAGAAGTGCTACAATATTTATATATAAGCAGCACATAAACAGTAACAAGAAAGGCTGTTAACCTGTGAACTTTTAGACTACAGCAATTTCTCAATATTTAAACTTAACAGATTGATGTAGAAAACAGAAACTACATGAG